GGGAGTTGAAGTCCACCAGTCATAAAAGGGCCAAGTTGGAAGACCCCTGGTCTGGATCCAAGCCCGCAGTTTCATCAAAATGGCCGACTGAGGAATTCTGGGAGTTGAAGTCCACCAGTCATAAAAGGGCCAAGTTTGAAGGCCCCTGGTCTGGATCCAAGCCCGCAGTTTCATCAAAATGGCCGACTGAGGAATTCTGTGAGTTGAAGTCCACCAGTCATAAAAGGGCCAAGTTTGAAGGCCCCTGGTCTGGATCCAAACCCGGAGTTTCATCAAAATGGCCAACTGAGGAATCCTGGGAGTTGAAGTCCACCAGACATAAAAGGGACAAGCGTGAAGACCCCTGTCTATGGAGATTCTCCATTATTCAGGTCACAGTTCTCTCCAAAGGTGCTTTTTTCAAGAGGCAATTTGGATGTCCTTTGTTTTTCCCTGAAGACGTTTCACTTCTCATCCAAGAAGCTTCTTCAGTTCTGACTGGATGGTGGGGAACGGAAGAAAGTATAAATCCTCCCATTTCCCCACCATCCAGCCAGAGCTGAGGAAGCTTCTGGGATGAGAAGCGAAACATCTTCCAAGAAAAAACAAAGAAAGTCCAGTTGCCTCTTGGGAAAAAAAATGCACCTTTTGGGACAGAATTATTCAAGGGATAATTCCTTTTCTAAGGAAAAGAGGAATCACTCACTTCTAAGGTTTTCTTGTACTGCAGATTCCGGTTTTTATGAATGGCATCCATTATTAGTTCAATCTGTGAAAAGAAAAGGAAAAAAAAAACACCGTTTGTTTCCAGGCAAAACATTTTCCCATTCTAAAAATAGAAGATTGCACACCAAGAACCAAGAATGGAAAAATCTCTCTTTTATTTTTAACCTTGCAAAGCGCAATTCTTTGTTCACCCTAGAGCGGGGCTAGGCAACCTTGGCTCTTTTTTTTTTTTTATAGATTTTATTAATTTTTATAGGGTTAGGGATAAGATTGGGATTTGGGTTAGGATTGGGGTTGGGGTTGGGGCTTTTCCAAATAACATTTTCAATATTTAGCAAAAAGCGTAATGTCTGGGTGCATGTATTTAACTAACAATAATAAATATAGTTAATTTTCATAAACAATATGTTAATTCATCCCTCAATAGCCTTCTTCTTGCTAATATATATTCAAAATTACATATCACGTTCCTTTCTCTCTGACTTGTTTTTCTAGCCATTGATAGAAATTATCCCATGTTCTAAAGCAGACTGAGTCTTCTTTCTCTTTAATCTTTAAAGTCAATTTATCCATTTCTGCACACTCTTAGGATTTTCTTAATTAGTACCTCTTCAGTTGGTACGTTTTCATCTTTCCAATGTTGGGCAAATACAATTCTTGCTGCCCTTAATACGTGTAGTATTAGATATCCGCAATCTTTCTCATAATTAGCTCCTATTATTCCTAACAAAAATAATTCTGGTTTAAAGTCTATTTGTTTTTTAGTGCAACCTTGGCTCTTTTATGACTCGTGAACTTCAATTCCCAGAATTCCTGAGCCAGCCATGCTGAGGGGAAAGGGAGAGGTTTCCAAGCTGAGCCAGGCTGGCTCAGGAATTCTGGGAGTTGAAGTCCACCAGTCATGAAGGAGCCAAAGTTTCCCTCATGCTGGCTCAGGAATTCTGGGAGTTGAAGTCCACAAGTCATGAAGGGGCCATAGTTCCCCCATGCTGGCTCAGGAATTCTGGGAGTTGAAGTCCACGAGTCATGAAGGGGCCAAAGTTTCCCTCATGCTGGCTCAGGAATTCTGGGAGTTGAAGTCCACAAGTCATGAAGGGGCCATAGTTCCTTCATGCTGGCTCAGGAATTCTGGGAGTTGAAGTCCACGAGTCATGAAGGGGCCATAGTTCCCCCATGCTGGCTGAGGAATTCTGGGAACTGAAGTCCATGAGTCATGAAGGAGCTATAGTTCCCCCATGCTGGCTGAGGAATTCTGGGAACTGAAGTCCACAAGTCATGAATGGGCCATAGTTCCCCCATGCTGGCTCAGGAATTCTGGGAGTTGAAGTCCACGAGTCATGAAGGGGCCAAAGTTTCCCTCATGCTGGCTCAGGAATTCTGGGAGTTGAAGTCCACGAGTCATAAAAGAGCCAAGGTTGCCTAGCCCTGCCCTAGAGAGTTTCAACTTCAATCCTTGACTTATAACCACAATTCAGCCCAAAGGTTCTACTGCCAAGCAAGACGGTTGCTAAGAGAATTCTGCCCCAGTTTATGACGTTTTTTTGCCACAGTTACTAAGTGAATCACTGGCTTGTTAGTAACACGGTTGTTAAGTGAATCTGGCTTCGCCAATTGATTTTGCTCATCAGAAGATTGCAAAAGGGGATCGTGTGACACCCCAGGAGGTCATAAATACGAGCCGGTTGCCAAGTGTCAAAATTTGGATCACATGACCAGGGGGATGCTGCAGCGGCCGTAAGTGTGAAAAACGGTCGTAAGTCACATTTTTTCAGTGTCGTCGTAACTTTGAACAGTCACTAAACAAATGGCTGTAAATCAAGGACTACCTGTATTTATAAACTGAGTGGAATGAGGCAGTCAATGGTGCAGGAAGCAATGGTTCCATGTGGACTAGAAACCCGATTTCATTTAACAGGGTCAGCCCCTTTGAGGCCGGCAAATTCAGGAAACAAAAATCAGTTGGATTTCTAAAATGATCTTTTTCAAGTAGTCCTTACCTTACGACCACAGCTGAGCCCAAAATTTACGTGGCTAAGTGAGACATTGGTGAAGTGAGTTTTACGGCTTTCCTTGCCACACTTGTAAAGTGAATTACTGCAGATGTTAAGTTGGTAACGTGGTTGTGAAGTGAATCTGGTTTCCCCCATTGACATAATATTAATAATAATAATAATAATAATAATAATAATAATAATAATAATAATAATCATCATCATCATCATCATCATCATCATCATCATCATCATCATCATCTATATAAATAAAAATGTAAATGTTCGTTTGTTCAAAATCTTAAATCTCCGAAAGTTCTTCACCGATTGCTTTGAAATTTTGAAACAACATTGCATTCGAATACGCGCGTGTTTTTATATACCTACTATTATATAGATGTCACACCTGTGGCAGGTGAAAACATGGGGTTTTTTTGAAAAACAGCGCCATCTGTTGGACGTAAAAGCAACACACGCTAACCAGACTGAGCCACAGCAACGCGTGGCCGGGTACAGCTAGTAATAATAATGATGATGATAATGAACATGATGATGATGATGATGATGATGTTGGAAGGGACCTTGGAGGTCATCTAGTCCAACCCCCTGCTCAGGCAGGAAGCCCTATACCAGTGATGGCGAACCTTTTAGAGACCGAGTACCCAAACCGCAACTCAAAACCTACTAATTTATCACAAAGTGCCAGGGCCGCATCAGCATTGGGCCACCGTGCTGCAAAAATGGCTGCCAGCGCACTGCAGGGTGAAGATACAAGGTGCTGCACCACGCAAGAACGGGGCAGGGCTAGTATCACACAGGCACTAGCCCCGCCCCATTTGCAGCATGTGCGTGCTCGTGGCCCGGTGCACGCATGCACGCATGTAAAATGCTTCCCCCTCCCTTTTCTTCCAGTCCACCAGTCGACAATGGTTGGTGACCTCTGCTCTACCACCTCTACTCGTGCTTGCTAGTCGGCCACTTTGCCTCCTTTGTGCTGGGCGGGGCTCCTGATGGCGGCCTGATGGACCTGCTGCTGGCGGCGGTGGCGCGCGTGCCAACAGAGAGGGCTCTGAGTGCCGCCTCTGGCACGCGTGCCATGGGTTCGCCACCACTGCCCTATACCATTTCAGACCAATGGCTGTCCAGTCTCCTCTTAAAAACTTCCAGTGTTGGAGCAGCCACAACTTCTGGAGGCAGGCAGTTCCACTGGTTAATTGTCCTCACTGTCAGGAAATTCCTCCTTAGTTCTAGGTTGCTTCTCTCCTTGATTAGTTTCCACCCGTTGCTCCTCGTCCTGCCTTCAGGCGCTTTGGAGGTTGAGTTACTCTTTAAGTTTCTTTTTCGTGTTTCCCCTTCCCGTAAACCACAGTTTCTCAACCTCGGCAACTTTTAAGATCTGTTGACTTCAAGAATTCCCCTGCCAGCCGTGGGAATTCACCCGTGGGAACCCGCCCATGTTTGCTGGGGAAGTCCGGGACTTCCACACCTCTTAAAGTTGTTAAGGTTAAGAAACACCACCGTACACTAAGAAACATTTTCTGTAATAGTCCTGTTTCTTCCAAAGGTGCTTTTTTTTCACGAGGCAACTGGAGTTCCTGTGTTTTTCTTTGAAGACATTTTGCTTCTCATGTAAGAGGCTTCTTCAGTTCGGACTGGATGGTGGAAGGATTTATACTCCTTGCACAGACGGTCATTTGCATGCTGTTTTTTCAAAAGGCAATGCAAATGAATGCAAACAACCGGCGGTCTGCAAGGAGTATAAATCCTTCCATTTCCCCACCATCCAGTCATAGCTGAAGAAGCTTCTTGGATGAGAAGCGAAACGTCTTCAAACAAAAACAAAGGAAGTCCAAGTTGCCTTGAAAAAAAAAAAAGCATCTTTGGGATAACTATGGCCTGGATGACTGAGAATCTCCATAGACAGTCGTGTTTCTTCCAATATATTCCTAAATGTCTCTTAAACATTTGGTTATTCTGGCTAGTGTGCTATGTGGAAACTCAACCTTTGTGTAGTGGAGGAGGGGAAAAAACCCCCATTGTGATGTCCTTTGATACTAAAAACTAAAAATTGGCAACTGTTAATCCTGAACTTTGAAATATCACATAAGCTTAAACGAGGAAATTGCACACAGGAGGTCTTTGACTTGCAAAAGATCAAATAATAATAATAACTGGAGAAGATAACAAAATACAAAGTCCTACAAATAGAAATAGAAAGACTGTGGCAAAGGCAAGCAAGGGTAGTACCAATAGTCATAGGCGCCTTGGGTGCAATCCCAAAAGAACTGGAGCACCACTTGAACACCATCATCGGCACTGACACATTCGCCATCAGTCAATTGCAAAAGGCGGCCTTACTAGGAACCGCTTCCATCCTGCGACGAGATCTGTAATACCATCAAACATCCACATCTGCCTATCCCAGGTCCTTGGGAAGGACTCGATAGGCAGACAAAAGGCCAAATCCAGTCTGAACATCTGGCTGACTGTGCGATGATCCGTAATAATAATAATAATAATAATAATAATAATAATAATAATAATAATAATAATAATAATAATAATAATAATAATAATAATAATAATAATAAAGTTGGAAGGGACCTTGGAGGTCATCTAGTCCAACCCCCTGCTCAGGCAGGAAACCCTACACCATTTCAGACAAATGACTGTCCAGTCTCTTCCTAAAATCTTCCGCTGTTGGAGCATTCACCGCTTCTGGTGGCAAGTTGTTCCACTGGTTAATTGTCCTGACTGTCAGGAAATTTCCCCTTAAGTGTTCCAGGTTGCTTCTCTCCTTGATTAGTTTCCATCCATTGCTTCTTGAATGGTCTAGTCAAAGTGGACATTCAAGGTTACAACGGCCCTGGAAATAGTGACTTGTGACCGTTTTTCACACTTACCATAATTGCAGCATCCCCATGGGTCACGTGACCCTATAAAACCCTATCAAACTAATATTGCCTCCCATGGATTTTAAAAGTTTGGTTTCCATGAGGGATTGTTCAGATTTCTTACCCTCTGAAGACTCATGGATTAACAGGGATTGGAAAGTCAAAAAGTTGCCATTCTACCACAACTAGTCTGTCAAGGTAATGATTTAAAAGCTAACCAGCTGATGTAATGTAAGATGTGACGATGGAATGACTCAGCAGGGTCTGTGTCTCTTTAAGAGCCTTTCTCTTCCATTTCCTGCTGTAACTGCTGTATGTTGGAACCTGCTGTATTACCACGTGTATGTATATTGTTCCTGGTGTATGATATTGTAGATAGAGTAAGATAGACCACCATTTAATATAGACCACTGTTTACTGTGTTTACTCCTGGGTTATCTCCACGCAATAAGACTGTGCATGCTCTGACATAGTCCTCGACTTATCACCACAACTGAGCCCAACATTTCTGAAAAACGGTCATCGGTCGCTGTTTTCAGTGCCGCTGTAACTCTGAACGGTCACTAAACAAAAGTGTGTGCGTCAAAGACTACCTGTAGTTACCATAACGTTGGTGGAAGGCAATGAAATTATGTTGCATTTTCTCAATCTGGAGGGCCTCCAGAAGCATGGGGTTGGGAACTGTTGGCTGAGAATTCTGGGTCTTGCAATCCTTAATATTTCAGGAGAAGATAACATTTGGAAAGCTGGTCTATTGACAGTGTAGCCATGAGCTTGGTCTTATAAGACAGCAGTCTCCAACACTGGCAACTTATGACTCGTGGACTTCAACTCCCAGAATTCCTCAGCCAGCATGGCTGGCTGAGGAATTCTGGGAGTTGAAGTCCACGAGTCATAAGTTGCCAAGGATGGAGACGCCTGCTATAGGATGGGCTGGGAAGTTGTCTGGCATCCCTAGTTATCACCCTCACATTCAGTCAAGGAGGCCTTGTCATCAATAATCTACAATGTCAAGGTATTGATTTAACACCCAACCAGCTTATGTAATGTAAGATGTAATGATGGGAATGACTCAGCAGGGTCTGTGTCTCTTTAAGAGCCTTGGTATAAAGGGAAGGCTCTGCTGAGCTGTTCTCTCTCTTCCATTTCCTGCTGTAATTGTGGTTTGTTGGATCCTGCTGTATTAGCACGTGTATGTATATTGTTCCTGGTCTATGATATTGTAGATAGAGTAAGATAAACCACCATTTAGTACAAGCCACTGTTTACTGTGTTTACTCCTGGGTTATCTCGCACCATAAGACTGTGCACGCTCTGACATGCAATTTCAATTCATATTTATCAATGATACTCTGAGATATTCCTTACCTTTTTACGGTGAAATTTTTGCTTTTCTCTGAAATCCTCCATTTTCTTGGCTTCTTCCCTGAGGTTCTGGGCTAGCTGCATATGGATCTGGCCAACCGTCTCCACTCCTTAGGAACAAGAAATCCAAACGGTCATCAATTCTGGTAGGAAAGCCGCTTTTATTGTCGTTTTATAGGTGAGAAACCAGCACAAGTGGTTTTCTACCTTGTACAAAGCCATCATTTGCTTAAGCATGGTCCTCTCCTTAGGCTACAATTATTTCACATTTCCCAGTTCAGCAGAAATGTGGCCTACAAACCACAATGGCTGGATTCACATCTTTTAAATCAGGGGTAGTCAACCTTGGCTCTTTTATGACTCGTGGACTTCAATTCCCAGAATTCCTGAGCCAGCTTAGCTTAGCTGGCTCAGGAATTCTGGGAGTTGAAGTCCACGAGTCATAAAAGAGCCAAGGTTGACTACCCCTGTTTTAAATCAAAGTCAAACTCATCCAAACAAACCCTGGTTTACCCTTCGCTGTGATTCTCACCGGGTGCTCAAGGTTGACTCAGCTTTTCATCCTTCCGAGGTCGGTGAAAAAAAGTGAGTTTTGCCTTATTTTATAACCTTTCCCACCACCATTGCTAAGTGAATCACTGTTAATAACACGGTTGTTAAATGGATCTGGATTCCCCCGTTGACCTGGCTTGTCGGAACGTCGCAAAAGGGGATCCCGGGACACACGGCAACCGTCATAAACGCGTGTCGGTTGCCAAGCGTGCAAAATTTGATCACGTGACCATCGGATGTTCGTAAGTGGTTGTAAGTGTGAAAGACGGTCGTAAGTCACTTTATTCAGTGCCCGTTGTAACTTTGAACCAGTCGCTAAGATGAAGGCTTGTGAGACTGCAACTGACTGTGCTCTGCTCTAAACCATCATGTCATTTGGGTCCAACATTGCATTCGGTCTGAACCCAGCTATGGTGACTTATACTCCAAACCATGATTAAAACTAATGATGCTCGGTTAAAGCCACTGTTGTGATCTCTTGGCTAGCCTAAGAGTTAACTCAAAAAGTTAGCATCGCGTGTTAGTATCATCGGACCCTACACTTGTTCCAACACACCTCCTTGGACTACTGTCATGCCTCTGTTGGAGCCTGAATCTGCGGAGGAAAATGAGCTGGAACGGGACCCTATGGAGGCCGACGGAGAGGGATCTGTGGCTCCAGAGGAATGTGGGGAAGAGCAGGCCAAGGCAGGCCAGGGCCTTTCAGGATTGGGACAGGATGAGCAGGAGAGGCAGAGTTCAGGTGATGAGCAAGGGCCACCCCCTCCTGATCCTAGAGCACGGAGAGTGGAGAGAAGGAGGGAACAACGCAGGCAGGTTCAACTACTCGGGAGGAGAGCATCCCGCCCCTCTCCACAAGGCACACCTGGAGACTGAGATGTAAGGAGACGCTGTGGGGAGAGGCATTTGTCAGGAACAAATGCTGATTCCTTGGAGTTTTGTATGCTGTTGCTGATCTTGGAAACAACTCTCTGATCTCTTCGGTGTTGTGATTTCTGCTTGGAAACCATTGGACTGACTGACAGCGTTGCTTGGATGTTCAAAGACCTCGGATTGTATTTTGGCTTCTTTTCTGAAACTGCCCAAGCAAGCTTATATTTCTACAGACTCGTTAGATTTTGGGTGTATGTGTCATTCCTTGTTATCTCCGTGGCCTTGAGTAAATTCCTCTCCTAATCTAACTGTGTGTGAAACTAATTGCAGCCAGAGGCGGCTGAAGGTGTGTGTGTCTTCCTTTGTTCTGGGGCTTGCCAGAAACGTGGGAGCATTTGGGGGAAACTTGGAGCAACTGCATTGCCTCTGTGCCATGCCCTGGGTCATCACAACTACCAAAACATCTACAGTTACTAAAGTAGCAGGAAAAAGCTGGGCTGTTTCTATGACAGAAGAGAGAGCTCCATTTTCTGGGGTCAAGGAGAGTTCTAGGGCTTCCCAACCTGGTCATGACCCTAGTGACTAACTCTACTCTAAGATGAACAAGATGTATCTCAGAAGTTCCTGCCTGCTGACAGTAACAGTACTACAATCCAGCAATGTGGGAAACTCTCAGGCTGCATGTCCTAAGGGAGCCCCAAAAGTTGGCCGGCTGACAAGTAGGGTTCCTCAAACTCTACAGCAGGGATGTCCAACCTTGGCAACTTTTAAGATCCGTGGACTTCAACTCTCAGAATTCCTCAGCCAGCCATCACCAGGAGACAGAGAGTTCTAGTCCCGCCTTAGGCATGAAAGCCAGCTGGATGACTTTAGGCCAATCACCAGGAGACAGAGAGTTCTAGTCCCGCCTTAGGCATGAAAGCCAACTGGCTGACTTTGGGTCAATTACCAGGAGACAGAGAGTTCTAGTCCCGTCTTAGGCGTGAAAGCCAGCTGGGTGACTTTGGGCCAATTACCAGGAGACAGAGTTCTAGTCCCGCCTTAGGCATGAAAACCGGGTGGGTGACTTTGGGTCAATTACCAGGAGACAGAGAGTTCTAGTCCCGCCTTAGGCGTGAAAGCCAGCTGGGTGACTTTGGGCCAATTACCAGGAGACTGAGAGTTCTAGTCCCGCCTTAGGCATGAAAGCCAACTGGGTGACTTTGGGCCAATTACCAGGAGACAGAGAGTTCTAGTCCCACCTTAGGCATGAAAGCCAACTGGCTGACTTTGGGCCAATTACCAGGAGACAGAGAGTTCTAGTCCCGCCTTAGGCATGAAAGCCAACTGGCTTTGGACCAATTACCAGGAGACGGAGAGTTCTAGTCCCGCCTTAGGCATGAAAACCGGGTGGGTGACTTTGGGTCAATTACCAGGAGACAGAGAGTTCTAGTCCTGCCTTAAGCATGTAAGCCAAGTGGCTTTGGGCCAATTACCAGGAGACGGAGAGTTCTAGTCCTGCCTTAGGCATGAAAGCCAACTGGCTTTGGACCAATTACCAGGAGACGGAGAGTTCTAGTCCCGCCTTAGGCATGAAAACCGGGTGGGTGACTTTGGGTCAATTACCAGGAGACAGAGAGTTCTAGTCCCGCCTTAGGCATGAAAGCCAACTGGGTGACTTTAGATCAATTACCAGGAGACGGAGAGTTCTAGTCCCACCTTAGGCATGAAAGCCAGCTGGGTAACTTTGGGTCAATTACCAGGAGACGGAGAGTTCTAGTCCCACCTTAGGCATGAAAGCCAGCTGGGTAACTTTGGGTCAATTACCAGGAGACGGAGAGTTCTAGTCCTGCCTTAGGTATGAAAGCCAGCTGGCTGACTTTGGGCCACTGGTTTTATCCTCAACCAGCACGCATGGTGACCCCCTTATCTGGGTATTATGGGAATTGTAGCTGCCCGACAGGGAGAATCCACAGGCAAGAGCTGATTTATTTCCCCCACAAACCAAGTTCAAACTTGGGTAACCGTGACATGCCGCAGAGAACTTACGTTGCTTGAAAACCTCCAGTGCTCTTCTCAGGGTGCTAAAATGAAAGGAAAACAGACAATGCACACTCTGGGGGTTGAGCAACCGCGAAATTGCGTTGATGTCACCGAAACACGCACGCACACACGCACACACACAAAACAAGACTTCGTTCTGGGCTTCCAGAAATGACTCCAATTTCAACACCTGATTAGGCAAGTTCTGAAACTCAAAACTGCAGCTCTACAGTCAGATAAATTTCTGCACTTCTCTTTCCTCCTTTGCTGGCGGGCCGAGGAAAACATTTCTCAATCGTTCCGTGGACACTCGAAATGCAAAATGCAAAATGCAGAAGACCCGTTTAGTTCAGGGAAGAACAAAACCTCGTGTGCCTTCACGGCCCAAGGTCAAGTTCGCACAATGCACTAAGCCGGGGCACATGAGTTGCATGCACCTTATTAGTGGGGTTCCTCCCCCAATCCGCTAAAACCTGAAGAAGCAAACCACATTTTTTGCCTTGGGTGAAACCAGCAAATGACTCGTGAAACAAAGCCAGTCTGCGTTTGAAGGGTGGAAGGCGGAGCACGTTGCTCCTTAAGGCAACGGAAAATCCGAGGGGCTGCCCTTCCCCAAGTCCACCATGACTGCTTTGAGATTAAACCAGTTTGGCCTAGGACAGGGGTAGGCAACCTTGGCTCTTTTGTGACTCGTGGACTTCAACTCCCAGAATTCCTGAGCCAGCCACGCTGAGGGGAAAGGGAGAGGTTTCCAAGCTGAGCCAGGCTGGCTGAGGAATTCTGGGAGTTGAAGTCCACCAGTCATAAAAGAGCCAAGGTTGCCTACCCTGGCCTGGGGGTTAAGGCATCAGGCTGGAAACCAGATAATGGTGATGGTGAGTTCTAGTCCCGCCTTAGGCATGAAAGCCAGCTGGGTGGCTTTGGGCCAATCACCAGGAGACGGTGAGTTCTAGTCCTGCCTTAGGCGTGAAAGCCAGCTGGGTGACTTTGGGCCAATCACCAGGAGACGGTGAGTTCTAGTCCCGCCTTAGGTGTGAAAGCCGGCTGGGTGACTTTGGGCCAATCATCAGGAGACAGAGAGAGAGAGAGAGAGAGAGAGAGAGAGAGAGAGAGAGAGAGAGAGAGAGAGAGGGAGAGGGAGAGGGAGAGAGAAAGAGGGAGGGGGAGAGAGAGAGAGAGAGAGAGAGGGAGAGAGAGAGAGAGACGACAGATAGACTTAGATCAGGGGTAGGCAACCTTGGCTCTTTTATGACTCGTGGACTTCAACTCCCAGAATTCCTGAGCCAGTATGGCTGGCTGGCTCAGGAATTCTGGGAGTTGAAGTCCACGAGTCATAAAAGAGCCAAAGTTGCCTACCCCTGAGCTAGACCTACACCTAGACATAGATGTATAGATATAAAAAAACATTCCAGGGAATGAAAACAAGTGTTAAATTAGATGTCCTTGACAATGGCAGAGAGAGATGCACCAAGGAGGACTTCCTTTTGCCCACTGCTAGGCCAAGTCATCTCCATAAGTGGCCGTGAATGGGAACAGGTAACCATGCCCCAAGAGAAAGAACAACTGTCTTCCCGTGACTGTATTTTCCTTCCAAATTAGAAACTAAATCTTAACCCCTTGGAGTACTCCCACGGAGATAAGGCCAGCCTGAACAAATGGCAAAATAACTGCAAATTCCTCAGCAGGGGACTTCAGACAGCAATTCCTATCAATTCATTTCCCGCATAGATGCAAGCATTGATTTGTGAGTCATTATTAAAAAAAATAAAAAATAAACCATCCATCGGATAGGATTTCCTTCTATTTTCAGAAGTTCATCTGGACTTTTTTTAAACTAGGGATAAACGGCCAGGCTGAAGTCTCTAGGTGAATAATGGGGCATTTGACCAAGAATGATAGCTTAAGAGATTTCTCCAAACTTCTTTTTTCCCCAAAAGTGGGCTGGCTTACTTTAGCTCTGTCTGTCCACACGGCTTCTTCCGTGACAGGTTCATCAGCTCCTTCCCATATCTTTCTTCTATAGAAGCCCTGAAACAGACAAAGATCGGTGTAAACATCAGGTTCTAGGCAAGCACAGAGTGCTGATCCATGATTTCATAAGAGCCGTGGTGGCCCAGTGGCTAGAATGCAGTATTGCAGGCTGACTCTGCCCACTGCTAGGAGTTCGATTTTGACAGGCTCAAGGTTGACTCAACCTTCCATCCTTCCGAGGTCGGTAAAATGAGGACTCAGATTGTTAGGGCAATACGCTGACTTTATAAACCGCTTAGAGAGGGAATGTAAAGCACTGTGAAGCGGTATATAAGCGCTAGTGCTATTGCTACTGCCAATAATAATAATAATAATAATAATAATAATAATAATAATAATAATAGTAAAGTTGGAAGGGACCTTGGAGGTCATCTAGTCCAACCCCCTGCTCAGGCAGGAAACCCTATACCTTCCTTCCTTCCTTTTTGTTTCCTTCCTTCCCTCTCTCCCTCCCTTCCTCCCAGTTGCTAGAATGCAGTATCACAGGCAGACTCTGCCCACGGCCTGGAGTTCGACCCTGACAGGCTCAAGGTTGACTCAGCCTTCCATCCTTCCGGGATGGGTAAAATGAGGACCCAGATTGTTGGGAGCAAAATGCTGACTCTGGCTGAGGAATTCTGGGAGTTGAAGTCCACAAGTCATAAAAGGGCCAAGTTTGAAAACCCCTTGACATACATTAGTCCAATATTTTTACATGTTCTATATTATAAAAAATACTATATTACTTATATCTCTTATCCCTCTTACTGTAGGGCCCCTTTATATTCAAAGTTATCTGTTCTTTTAACTGTATTCAAACAAGTGTTTGCTCATATAATACTCCACCTGGTAGGGAGAGTGAGATCTCTTGATCTCACTCGTCGCTCCCATGTAACACCGTTGCTGCGCGAGCTGCACTGGCT